GAGAAGTTAAGGAAGCCTGAGAACGCTGACCTCACGAAGGCCGCAGGTTCCAACCCAGATCTCTATGCATCCAGAACCCACCCTCTTGACCCCTTCTCATCACTGCCCAAAATATCTCTATCCCATTAGAGGGCTGGGATTGGGTTCTTATTTTCTGTTTCATCTTATTTCATCTTCCCCAGGAGTCATGCATTTTTAAACTTCGTGCGAGATCAACCAGTTCCCCCAGAGGAGACAGTAAAAGAACAGAACAGGCAGAAACAGACCAGCCATCAAATAAACACAAGATTTCTTCCAGGAAACGTCCGCCCAGGGGGGGGAATTATGCGAGCACAATGCGAGGTGGAGAGAGAGCGCTAGGGCATCAGGGGAGTCATTTCCTTTTGGGAGAGAAAGACAGAGAGATGGGACTCGGGCCATTAGGCTCCGGCTATTTCTGTTCCTGGTGGTGAGAGCGCAGTGAGCAGGCCTCAGAGCACTTCCCACTGGGGGGGTTCTAGGGGCCCAGCCCCGCAGCTCTCCTGCCTCACTAAGGCAGCCCCAGTCGCACTGCAGAGAAGCTGGAAATGGGAAAATCCACAGTGGAGCCTGAAGTCCTCTGGCCTGTCTGCAGGCCCTCTCCCTGCGCCCAGCCTTTACACCCATAGCAAGCACATCCCCATCACTCGTCAGTGCCCTTGTATGCCATGCCCCAACTTCAAACTGCTCCACCCCGGAGGCTCACTCAGGGCAGCTGGGATCCAGGTGATCATACAATAGGGGCAACAGGCTCTGGGTGAGATTTGTCAGGTGGCCTCAGAAGAATCTGGGCTCAAATAGTGTTCCCGAGGCAGAATGAGGGGTCTGGTGAGCTCTGTTCCGTGGAACCTGTGGCCTCTGTGGACACACCTGGGGGTGTGGGCTGGGAGAGACTGCCAGGGGAGGCCCAGAGGCCCCAGAAGGCCAGGCCACACTCCCCTGTAACAGGCAGAGGAGAAGGACCTTGAAAAAGGGTGGGCTGGGGTCCTGCTGCCTCACAGATGGAGGTGGAGGGGATAGGCGCGGGGACAACCATCATTCCAATATCTGTTTGTAGAAAGAGTTCCAAGGCCTAAGACCAAACAAACAACAAACACATCTCAAACCAAAAACAAGTAAGTCGAACCTCCTGCTCTGGACCAGACCCTCCTTTTCACAGGTAGCAGGACCAGGGACGGGTGATAAAGAAAGGAAAGTCACACAGAACTATTTGTACCGGAGACAGACATCAAACCCAAGTTTTAGAAGAGGCTCAGAAAGGAGCAGGGATGTGACCTCCGTTCACCCAAGACATTAGCGCGTCTGCCTCTTTCCCTCCAGGCGAAAGGGGCTCAGCACAGGCCTTACCTGGGAGCAACACCAGATCCCATCCCTCCTCCCCAGCACTCCATGTCTCAGGGCCCAGGAAACATTACTCTTTGTGCCTGCCCTGTCCTCCAAGAGCACAGGGGCTTCCAAAGTATAATATGATCCAGCAATTCCACTCCCGGATACATACACAAAAGAATTGAAAGCAGGGACTCAAGGAGATACTTGTACACCATGTTCATGGCCAGCCCCTGTTTGTCTGTAGTTTATCAATCTTACTGCTCAGGACTGGGCAAGTCTAGAAAGACCAAGGTCACCCATCTAGCCAGGCCAGTCCGTCCCTTTGGAACCAAGTGGGATTGAGACCACTGCTACAGTCTCAGCACTTTACAGAGAATTTCCAGCACGCCCCAGCAGGCGCGGTGCAATTCCAGAGTCAAAGCTGACTCCATCCCAGCCTTGCCTGGGGCAATCTAGTTGCTTTGCTCCCTCCTTGCGCATCTCCAGGAGTCTATGAAGTCAGCACCTGCTGCATCTCTTGCAGTTCTGAGTTACAGCCGCTGGGTGTCGCTACACAGCAAAAAACCCCCACAGGCTACCGGGAAGCCCACAGCTGGTGGCCCTGATGGGAGTTCAGACTGAGAGGGCCTCTGCCTCTGGAATTCCTGCCCCAGTCTTTTGTAGGCTTCAGTCCAGGGGGTCCCAGCACCTCAAGAACTTCCCTCACAGCGTTAAGGGAGGATTTCAAACCTTTCACCACCCTGCTAAAAGGAAAACCTGGCCAGAGACTCATAGAGTGCAGTCTCTCACCTCCATCTGCTGCAGAGGGCATTCAAATCCAGACAACCCTGCCAGGTAGGCCCTGTGTTCCTCCTTACAGGTGCAGAAACAGGTTCAGAGGTGAAGGCCAGAGTCGCACAGCTATGGAGCGGCAGAAGCGGCTCTTGCACTCAGGCCTCTCAGGCTCTTAAATGGGGCTTTCTCTGGCTGCATCACACTGCCTAGGCCTGAGACCCTGGCTCCGTGAGAGCAGGGCAGTGTGGAATTCCTGTTTTTAACCCTTGGGCCCAAACCTGTGCCAACCTGTTCCTAACTCTAAGATGGCATCTACCACCTAAGTGTGCCAGGTACATGGCTAAGTCTTTAGGTGTACCACAGCCCCTAAGTCTTTAGGGTAGCTGCCATTGTTACCCCCACTTTCCAGAAGGGGAAACTGAGGCACAAGAACTGGGCACCAAGTCTTATAATTATTAAGTGGCAGAGGCAGGGCTCACGCCAGCTGGCTTCAGAGTCTGAGCTCTTGCTTGTGACCACTTCTCTACAGACACTTTGAGGAGAGCTGCTCCTTCCCTTTGCCCTGGGTGAGCCCCCACCCATGGGACCCTATCTTGTGTTTCATGGGTGGGGCTCATGTAAGCCTCGGCCATTAGACGGGGAGCTCCTCACTGGAGGGCAGGGCTGTGCATTCACCCCTGTCCTTGCAGCTTCTGATCCCTGAACAGAATCCTGACTCTGGAGGGTAGGTGCCTACCACACCTCCCCTGGGTCCTCGTCACCTCTGAGTCCAGGGCCTAACTGTAGGGGTCAGATGTAGACACAGGCCCTCTCCCTGGCAGTCACTTCAGGGTGAGTGCAGCAAGGGCATCTCCTGGGAGAGGGCACCCCCTTCCCCCCTCCCCTGGGTTCATACCTCACTCTCCCCTAGGGGCAAGGGTGCTCATACTGAGCAGGAGAGCTGAAGGGGAAACCTCCAGGAAGTTTACAAGCTGATTGTTGAACTCAGCTGTTGTTAAAAAGGAAAACCTGGCCACATTAAAAATGAAGGTAATAAAATAAGTACTTCAAAGTCATCACCTCCTCGTGAGGTAACTACATTTTCCGTCATTCGTAAGTAATCTTGAGATGACTTCCCGTATGGTGGAAATACTGTGTAGCAATGGGCCACTAAGCTCGGCTTCCCAGCTTCCAGTTCTGTGACTTTGCGTTGGTAGTTTGAAAGCAGCATGATGGGAGTCTTTATACTCCAGAAATTGGTAAATGCTACAAATCAGGGCCCCCACCCGCCCTCACCTCTCCAGAGATCCAGCTGTTAAGCATTTACAAGGTCTAACATGCCAGTGTGGGCCAAGTGGGCCCTCCCAGTAGGAGCAGGGACTTGGGAGTTGGCTCACTCCCAGTGGTTTAGTCCAGGCTCTGCCCCCGCCAACTGTGAGGTCAGGGCAATTTGTCCTTGGGCCTCACCTTTCCCATCTGTAAAATAAGGCTGAGAATAGCAGCTTTAAAAACTGAGCATCAATGACCTGTCAGGTGCTGAGTCCATGCTCTCATCAAATCTGCCAACAGCCCTGTGAGGCAGGGCCAGTGACAGCCCTCGGTGAAGAGAGGAAATGGGGGCATTGAGAGGGTAAGTACCTCATCAAAGGCTACAGATCCGGTTTGAACCACATTGGTGACTGCTGTGGTTTCTTGGGCCTCTAAACACAGTACCCAGTTGGCAGGGTGGTCTGGGGATGGTTATAGGAGATAATGTGTGGAGAGGAGCTGGGCATATATCTGGCGCTAGCAGAACACAGCCAACGTTAATTAACCGAGAGGCTGAGAGTAGGGTCTGGACCCACCCGGTCTGACTGTCAGCTCTGTTTTCTGATTGCAAGCTCTCCAGCCACTTTGCTTGTCTAACCTCATTTTCCCCATGGGACAAGAGGAATAATAGCTACTGGAAGAGCTGCTGAGAGCACTGGAGATAAAGGATGTAAAGTGTCTGGTGAGAAGTGGGTACTCAATAAATGGGAGTGATCGTTCCGGATTATCTTTTATTTCGCGTCACTCAGAAAACAGTTCTTCAGGGCCCTGGTGGGGAGGGTGGCCAAGGGGGAGGCCGGGGAAGCAAGACCTGGCCTGGACAGCTCCTAGCGCTCCCCTCCTGGCCAGGTCGGCCCTTCAGTGGGCCCTGGCCCTAGAAGGGCCTCAGAGGCGTGGGACGCGGTTGCTAGGCGCCGGTTGCTAGGCAACTCACTGTTTCTCGTGCCCTGGCCACCTCCGGGAGGGCCCAGGCTTCTTGGGAGCAGCTCCTGCCTCCAGCAGCGTCTCCCGGACCTCAGAGCCACTGCGGAGGGCAGGTGAGGGTGGGGCAGCTGCGGTTGGGCCCAGGAGAGAGCAGAGCCAACTTCTGGCAGGAGGTGGGCAAGGCCCAGGGAACGAAGGGAGAGACAGGGAGCCTGGGGCTGGGAATGGGCATTCGGCTAGAGTAGCCAAGACTGGCCAGAGGTTGTCCGGCCATCAGCCCCCAGAGGACTCTGTGTGGGGTTAAGATCAGGGACGGAGGAGTCAGGTACCTTGGGCCTGAGTCCTGGCTCTACCCTCTATTATGAGCTAATCCGTCATCACTTGGAACCTCGGTTTCCCAGCTATAAAATGGGAGTTCATAATAAGGTGTGAGGGAAGTGAAGTGAGACACAGTGTACAGGAGACGAATGTTGACAATGACTAATTCTTCAGTTTGAGGTGTGGGTGTTGGTGGAGAGGGACAAGCCTGGGGGAAGGGCCAGCTGGGTGGGGTTCGATCACCACCTCTGTGGTCTCCACAGTCTGAGCCACCGGTCTCTGGGCTGCTGGACGTCCGAGATTCTTTGTGCTTCCTTCCTAGGCCCCCAGGGGCCCTGCCCCACAGCATCATGATGGGGAAACTCCCCCTGGGGGTTGCCTCCCCTTATGTGAAGATGAGTTCAGGGGGCTGCACAGACCCCATGAAATTCTACGCCACCAGCTACTGCACAGCCTATGGTGAGGAGCCACCCCAGAACACAGGCAGGATGAGGGAGGCCTTCCTGCTGGGAGAGAAGCAGCCCCCTGGCCTATCACACATGCAGGGCGACCCCAGCATACTCAACTGACCAGCCCCCTTAGCCCCCTAAGGGCTGTGGCCACATCCAGCTGCCTGGCTGGCCCTGCCCTGTAGTCCCTGCCCTTGAACCCATCCTGCGATTCTGCCATACTGACCTCATCCCTCCTGTTGACTCCATGCCCTTGCCAGAATCCCAACAGGTCAGGCTTTTTTCTGCCCCTGGCTCTGTGCCTTCTCCATCACTGGGACCCTGAGCCTTGGGGGAAGCTGACCCTGCCTGGGAAGCCCTGCCCTCTGCTCTCCCACTCTGCTGACCCGGGGCCCGGCCTCCCTGCTTCCCCTCCGGCAGGTCGGGAGGACTTCAAGCCCCGCATAGGCGGTCATAAAGGCACTGGCTACAAATCGAATTACCGGCCCGTGGTCTCATACCAAGCCGGTCTCAATGCCCCGGACAACCCAGCCATGGGGTACGGTCTGTATACCCCTTCTCACCCCCTGCGCTGCTGGGCTTTAGCTCTCAGGACATCCATGCCTGGGGACCCTGAGCCTTGCCTGTCTAGGTCTGGGTCCCTGGGGGACTCAGGGCATGGCGCCTAGCCTGGGGCCCAAAGGAGTCCTGAGGCATCAGCGGAGGTTTGAGGGAGGCAGAAAGCTTCTGGAGATAAGCATTGCAGGCCGGTGGTAATGGCTCCTGCTCCTGCCCTACCCTCAGGGAGCAAGCCCGGAACAATTTCCAGACGGTAACCAGTCAGAGTTACCGCCCCCTGGAGGTGCCTGACGGCACAAGCCCACTGCCTTGTACCTTGTACCAGGCCAACTCTGGCTACTCTATGGAGAAGGCCACTTCGGCACCCTCCACCAAGGAGGTCAGTGCTGGGCCGGGG